CCGTTGTTATCGTCTCAAGCTCTTCCTCGAGCAATTCGGGATCAAAAGCTGTGTCCTCAATTCCGAGCTGCCCATCAATTCTCGGATTCACGTTGTGCAGGAGTTTAACAAGGGTGTTTACGATATCATCATTGCAGCCGATGAGCAAGAAGTGATGGGATCCCGGACATCTTCCAAGAAATCCAAGGAGGCTACTGACGGAGACGATGAAGCCAAGGACAAGATGGGCTCTAGTGAAGACGAGGATAACGAACCAGAACAGAAGAGCAAATCTGCCCGTCCGGAGAAACGTCGCAAGACATCAGGAAAGGCCAAAGATTACGGAATATCCCGCGGCATTGATTTCCAGAACGTCGCATGCGTTCTGAACTTCGACCTTCCCACCACTTCCAAGTCCTACACTCACCGCATCGGCCGTACAGGAAGAGCCGGCAAGGCTGGCATGGCACTGTCATTCGTCGTGCCAGCGGACGAATTTGGCAAACACAAGCCCACCAGTTTCCCAACCGCCAAGCACGACGAGTCCGTATTGGGCAAGATCGTCAAGAAACAAGCCAAACTCGGCCACGAGGTGAAACCCTACCACTTCGAGATGAAGCAGGTCGATGCCTTCCGGTATCGTATGACAGATGCCCTTCGCGCAGTCACACGATTGGCCATCCAGGAAGCCCGTGCGCGCGAGATCCGCCAGGAGCTGGTCAAGAGCGAGAAGCTCAAGCGGCATTTCGAAGAGAACCCCGAGGAACTCAAGCAACTGCGTCATGACGGCGAGCTTCGTGCCGCGCGTATCCAACCACATCTGAAACACATTCCGGATTACCTGATGCCGACCAAGGGAAGGAAGGGCATCTCCAGCGAGGACGTTGGGTACGTTGGTTTCAGGAAATCGGGAGACAATCGGATTCGCAAAGCTAGAGAGAAGAATCGGGGTAAGGGTAAAGGAAGGAAACCCTCCGGTGTGAGGAAGGTGGACCCGCTCAAGACCTTCAATCGGGGTCGCAAGTGATGAGGTATGTTGATGGATGTGTCCTGCATGATAGATCTGGGAGGGAATACAAAAGTTTGAATGGCTGCACAATCTTGTACATACAGGCGATCTCCTACAGAGTTCAATCTCTAAATATAGATACCAAGTGCGATTTTCTAGTGGCCTACGTTTTATGCAAGGGCGCCGCCAGGCTTTGATCAAAAGTCGTCATTCTAAAGTATCATTGATGTCTTATAGGGATATGCCCTGTATATTCTGTAATCGGCTTCTGTACCGGGTGCAGCATCATGGGACAAAATTTCGATAATCTGTCGCGAGTAATTTCTTGAGGGTGTCGGCATCCAACCCCTCCAGGCCAAAAGAGAAATGCACCCACTTTCCTCGTCCGCTCTGCCGAAGCTGCAGTACACTTCTCTGCACCGCTTTCGCAGAACGCAGAGTCTCGCGGTAGTACTCCAACTCCTTCGCACGCCTGTACTTGAGGCGCTCAATCTCGACATCCCACGGAAGATCCGGGATATCGGACGGAGCGGGAGATGGCGCATGGATGGACGAAGCGAGGGATCGCGACGGTCGCTCAGCTGCGCCGCTTTGCGGCACGGCGAACTCACTGTCGTCGATACGAGGGAGCCACCCAGGTCCTAATCGGACATACTCGATATCCCTCCATGATCCGTTCCATTCGGGACCAGACGGTAGTGCCTCGCCGTCCGGGCTGACGCCTTCCCACGTTAATGCGGGGATCCAGTCCCCGCAGCCTTCGAGATCCAGCCACTTCAGACAATATGTTACGCGCGAGACCCTGCGCAGAATGGCAGCTGCTTCGGCCCAGTTGTTCTCCATTCCAGAGTAAGAGTCCGTACCCCCGTAGGCGAAGGTGAGGGATCTTTGGGTGGGATGCCTAATGCGCGTGTTCATAGCGTTCGGCGTAACTGTTGGTAAAGGCCAGTGCGCCAAAGAGAGATGAGTAATTGTTGATAGACGCGATAGGAGATCGACAAGGGAGTTCCAGTTTGCAGCCGCGGGTTTGGGGTGCGCTAGGGAGAGGAAGCGCAGATTTTGGAAGCGAAGGCCCTGGCTTAAGGCCTTGGGTATGGGCATATTAGGCTTTTCATCCGTCAATTCATCTTCTTCGTCATCGATCTCTTCCCATGATGATGGAACGGGCTCTTTAGCCTTCTCTTGTGCAAGACTTGCTCCAGACTTGTTCGAGAGGAAAAGTTCATGTGAGAGCTGTTTTAGAGTCATCCAGCGCCCTAATGCACTGCTCAAATCCAAACGCGAGACCTCTGAGTCGCCATCTTGGGTTGTATCCCCTGCATCCCCACTCCCATAGTCCTCGGTACTGAATTTCTCGAACAAAGGCTTCAGCCCATGTACCAGCCCTTTTAGAGGTTGATCTCTCGCATAAACAGCAATATAGCTCAGCAGTAAAATCTTGACGTGACTGGGCAGCACAGCCAGGAATTGCCCATCGTATTCGATATGCCATGCCCATTGTGACGCCATGGTCTTCAGAACCATGTGCAACAAGTCCGACTTGCGCGGGAACGTCGTTCCCGGAAGCCGATCCAACCGGTATATGATCCTTTCCACTCGCGCAGCATTTGTAGCACTCAGATCTTCATCCGATGTATCCGCATCATGACTCCCCAAGAGCCAGCTCTGGGGAGGAGGCGGTCCAGGAGTTCTCCGGAGCCGTCGTCCAGTCACTCCGACGCGGCGTGCTTCCGGGCGGGGACGAGGTGGCGGCGTTTCAGGGAGTTCTAGCAAGTTCCGTAGTGACGGATGGACAGACCGAGGAGCGACAAACCGGGTTGGATTGCCAGCGCCATCTTCAGGCGAGCGGGAAACCTGAGTGCGACGAAGATGGTTGATCAGGTCGTTGACCGATGGTGTCGATGTGCTCGAGGACGAGGCCTGCGAAGCTTGAAACCGTTCATTTTGGTTACGAGGACCGGACGAAAATAAAGTATGATGAGCGGGACTGACAGGCTTCGCGAATGAGTGTTTGTGGTGCTTTTTGGGCATAGAGAAGATGGCTACAGAGAGGAACGAGGTGCAGGTGGGGTGTTGACGGAGCGGCGTTGGAGAAAAACCTGGGGGAGCTTTTGTTGTTACCCGTAGATGATTTCGCCCCCCTCAGCCAGAGAAGATAATAGGGCTGGATTCGACTCCGGAACAACTAAACGACGTTCTATATCCTCAATTTTATGTACACGGACCATTCGTAATCTTACATATGTACTTGAGGAACAAAGAGTAGGCAAGCCCGACTCATATGTCCCTTACCCATGACTCATCTTTCATTTTGCCTTCTCGTTGCGGACCTTCTTGAATCCAGGTCTCCGCGAGCCCGTGTTTAGGGTCTTCGTCGGAGAGGCCCCTTGTCCGTCTTACCTCCAAAACAAGATCCCGGACCGTCCTGGTAACCTCCTTTCGCAGCTCCACCGCTTCTTCCCCGTGCAGCAGTTCTTCGCTAAGCACCCCTAGGGGGAGGTTGCGAGACTCCGGTGACGCCGACTCAGCCTTTGCCTTGATCTCACGCCATCTTCTTCTCATGTCGCCAAAGACAGCCTCGGAATCTACCTTCTTTCCAAAAGTGATGCTAATTTCCTTCCCTACTCGAGGAAGAAACCGAGGAAAGCCACGGCTTTCGTGCATGACCTGGTCAAATCCCTCCAGCCAGATGGGGACAACGTCAGGACACTCGTTTGCTTCCAATATCAGTCGAGCGACACCCCACTTGAAGTAACGCATCGTTTTGTTCGGAGCCTGGTGTATTTTCCCTTCAGGAAAGATGTGGACCCAGGAGTATGAGTTGCAGGCGTAGGCAGACGGCGCTAGATGTGAATCCATTCCAGTAGTGGTGTAAGCCGTGGGAAGCTCCGAGAATGGGTCGACGCAGACGTTCTCTATGCTCCAGTGCTGCCTTTCGGGGGGCGGGAGGTGTGGATCTGGAGGGAACGGCCCCTTCGACAATAACCGGATAGCCTGGGTTACGGCTGGCTGCGCCAAACCGCCATGGGGCGAATGTGCTAGTCGATGTGTGGGCAGGACTTGGCCCATCGTGAAGAAAAGTGCCAGAGGTCTACTCAGGTCCAGCTGGTTAGCCGCAACACCATGACCAGATCGTGTGTTGTTTCAGCGTACCGGCTTTGATAACAGATATCATGGCTGCCAAAGCCCCATCTCTTGTTGGACGAGGAAAGTCCAAAATTCCACCGTAATGGAATTGCTCCCCACATGATCGGGTCATCCATACTGCTCGAGTCAGCGACAACGGTAAGCTTCGTTGAAGTCGCAGATGGGTGTGTCGCCTCAAGTTGCAAGGCGCATCGTACGTACGTACACGCTTATATGGTTCGAGACTGTCAAATCAATCCCATGTCAGCAATTGATCTCCACGCAGCGACCATATAGAGACAGATAATATTGAAGAGTAAAGAGGATTAATACCTGTCAGCAAACCCCTCGTTCTTCGCGATGTATTCTGTCGAGATTCGAGTAATTCCAGAAAAGACTCCAAGCCATTGATTTCCGGACGACTACACATGTACAAGAACGAACGGCACAATGCAGCGACTCCGAAAATCGTCGTAGCCGAGAGCGCTCTCCAGGGGACAGACGGGCAATCGCCCGTCGCGCTGCGATCCGTAGAACGGGACATGGTATACAGCTCTACCGAGAAGAATCCATGGACAAGGTAGATGAACAACAAATACGCCGAGAACAAAAGACAGCGGCACTTGAGGATGCCAACAAGGGCCAAACAATGATTGAAAGTGCAACGGGGGGACGAGACCTACTATTCTCCCCAGACGGAGGCGTGAAAGCAAGAGATGCCTTCATTGGCTTTGACTTTTGCGGCCGCGGAGATCGGAGGCGAGCACGGACCACCCTGCACCTCCAAACCTCCAGAGGATTTTCGCCCCGAATCTGCCCATCCCCGACAGCGACAGTGCTACCCTTGCAGCATTTCCAGCGAACACCTTGACAGGATACCGTCAAGATGTTCAAAGCCTCGTCACCGCTCTTCTCGGGCCTTCTCTGGTATGCCCCAAGCCTTTGATGCAGCCTCTGCCGCCTCTGCAGTGGTTCTTCCGCTGCCTTTTTTTTTCATTTCCATAAAGCACAGGACTAACGATTGACACCTTGGACCGAACGAACAGGAAGATCCCATGGCGTATTTCATCACCTCAGAAAGCACGGCAAAGAAAGCGTCTACGCGCTGTTGACCGGGTGGTCGATACCCTGAGCGCCGCCTTGCGACGAAACGGCCAGAGCACAAAAGCCGTCGATCGGTGGTATGCGGAAATGCCTCGGGAGGAAGAGATGTTGCCCAAGGACAAGTACACACTGTTCGATAAGAAGGAAAAGACCTATCGGAAGGGTATTCACAGTAAGTTTGTCTCAACACTGTCACTGCTCCATTCTCTGTGGCCGCTTTGCACTTGTTTTCTCTCAAGGCGAAGATACAAGGATGCTGACGGCTCTCTTTTTAGAACTGCCCAAGTGGACAAGAGTCAGCCAGCGCCTGAACCCTCCTGGTTTTTAAGTTCTCTTCTTCGACGCACGATACTCTTCAGAACCGTCCATACGATCCGCTGAAAATGTTTGTACAATACACCACAGCCCTTATCGCCTAGACCCTCTGATGAAGATGAGGTTGAGCTAGAAGGGATACAGGGCAAATCGGAGTTCTCGGCTATTGGGAAATTACACAATGACTGCGATGGGTTTTAAATTCGGCTTACAATGCATTCATACAAATATGAGAGCACATTTCACACTCACAGATCTCGTTTCTTTCTAAGATGATATCTTGATCATACCTGTATAACAATAAATGATAAATTGAGACCTAACACTCGGCGAAGAGAGTGAAAGTTCTCCCGGTAGAGTCAATATGATATCTATCTGGCCTATGGACGACAGACCGCTTCGTCAACCTCTCCAAATTTCGCCGTATCTGATGCAGGGCTTGAAGAAATGTCCGGTGGCTGGTACCTCTTAGGCGGCGTCTGCTTGGGGAGTATTCAAAGCTTCATTTGCTATGGCCTGGAAGTACCGGGTAAGCTCAACCGCTATCTCCTTCATCCTAGTTCGATTGGCCCTTCCTTCATAGATCGCTTTACGGATTCGATAACCGCGGCGCACCCTTTGCCAGTCACCGAGGGTCTCTTGCCATCCTGCTCCTCCTTCGTAGTATGCGTCTTGCTGCGTGGTTGACATTGCAAAACCTTGCGGGGGTCTTCGAAGAATCCAACTTGCGGGATCGACTCTCCCATCCGGTGGCTCATCTGCTGAGCCTTCAAGTAACGCGACGCTCTTGATGACATCTCGGAGACCTGATGTCCGTCGATTCCGATTGACAGCAGCCCTCCAAGAGTTCAAATGAGGTATGTTGGCTGTTTTGCAAGAGCTCTCGGGATATTTGGGTCTCGGCCCCCAGCGAGGTATTGGATATGGAGAATTGAATCGTGGATCTCCCCGAAGACGTCTTGCTTCAATGGGGACCCGTGAAATAGGATCGAGTACAACCCAAGTTTCCCTATTGAGCCAGTGATTGGCAAGCAAGGCAAAGTGAAAAGGCCTACGACCAGGACTAAGCTGTACCAAGAGCCATTCCAATTTTCGATTCAGGTCGTGAGCTAGCTTCACCTCCCAGGTGCTTAGACTTCGTAAAGGTACCTTTCTAAGTTCCAGGTGCCTAGCTTTTGAATGACGGTTTTCGCAAACCTTCGTGTTGTTGGTGATTCCATGCAAGCTCCGTGGCCTCCCTACACGATCTGAGCACGGAGAGCTCTGAACGGCACCAGAAGGTGCAGCCTCAAGACCCGAGTCTCTGACTTCTGCAATTCGACATGTACTATCATCGACGCGAAGTTGTCGTTTGAAACGTCGGTGATCAGCTTCAGAATCCTGTGCGCCCTTATTCGATATTTCGCGTCTCTCGTGATCAACGTGTCGTTTCATGGATACGGTGTGACTGGTTGCGTCGGAGGAGGGATTGGCGATCCTGCTTCCAAAGGTCTTTGGGACCACTTCCAACAGTGCAGTGCGTTCGGACGAGAAACTGCTGAGGAGCCCAGACTCGGGGCTTCCGGGAGGCCCGAGGAGCGGGCACTGGTTGTAATGGATGCATTTTGACGTTTGAAGTTCCATCCGAGCGGACCACATCTGGTATGCAAGAGCAAGAGGTCTCCTCTGAATTGAACGAGAGGCAACTTCCCCGTGTCTGAAATTCTGAGCAGTATAAAACCCTTCTGAGCGATCTATGAGCCTTAGAGGACCAGGTTCTGTACTCAGTAGACATGGCATGGAAAGATTTTGCCGCAGCGCTGGGTCGTGGTTCGGGAAAATGAGGACCATACGGTTGCCTTTGCGTACGTATATTGTATGATTCAATGGCAAGGGCGTTCCGCCATGGTTATAGAGTATGCGGAGATCTTGGAGTTGGATTGTGTCAGTCGTGGAATTTCGCTCGAGTCTTCTATCTAGTTGTGTTGATGTAATCAGCGATAATTGAGAACGATCGGGCATTGACATCTCACTCGATGATATATTATGAGAACCTTGTCTCTCTGATGACTTGAACACAGGCCTACACAGGTTCCGAGTTGAAAGAGTGTTCCTTCCTGCGCAGAGAGGGTCCGCTGTATTTTCACCAGGCGCCAAAGAACGCCCAACTGGAGGGCCAGGGTTCCAGATAGCATCCGCCGTCATGAATTCGTAGCTTCTAAAGCATTTCGGCACCCATCGGAGGAATCTTCGCTTTTCCTTGTACTTTTCCAGCTCCTTTTGGCCAGGATCCCACCAGACCCAGCGAAAGTCGGCCTTGGACGATCTCCACGCCGTCCAGTCATGCAATCTTTGGAAACATTTTTGGAAGAGCCTCTTGTGGAACTCATGTCGTTGCAGTGGTACCCAGCCATACCAGGTCCTCGCGTAGCGAGTGTTAACCTTCTTTCCTTTCCTGACGACTCGGTCCCGCGTGAGTAATCGAAAGAATTGACCAATTTTCCAGAACAAAACCGCCAGCACAAATATGCAGATAGTCCCCACAAACAGTTGGATGAGTACCCTCAGTCTAATGTACCTTGTGACCCGTATTGGTCGTGCGTGAGCGCTTTTGGAAGAGTGGGAAACAGAAAAGGATTGATAGTATCGTGAGTGAAGGACAGGCGCCATCTGAGAGATAACCGAGCGTCAGCCAGATGTTCATTGTGATAACAATACTGTTCTTGGATGCGAAGTCTTCCATATTGCATGTAGATAGCTCGGTGTTTGAAGTCAACGTCACGACACGTGAGCGAGGGGGCAGAGAGCCGTTGTGGCCCAAAAGGGAAGGAAGGTGCCTTTCCGTCTGCCTTTCTACTTCGAAGATTGCAACAGATATACTCTGCTGGGGGCCACTCAAGTAAAACATCAGGTGTGGTTTTTCTCACACGATATAAGCTTGCTGCTTGGTGATATTGAATGTATGATCCATAGTTCCAGGTTGAACCAGACCATTAGTCAAGCCGAGTATTATTTCCGCGTACACCAGGTTCATGCCAATGTAATTGCGCCGCCCTACTAAGAAAGGCTGGCAGACCTGCCTCTGATCCACCTGTGTTTACTTCGGCCGCCTATCATCAGAAGTCAGCTACCGCTTCAGTGCGAATTGGCACGGCCAGGCAAAGTTGTGCTCATTATCATAGGCCACCAACACGCAGATGTTGATGATCCTACTGCCAGGGATGAAGTGGCTGTAGACCATCGTGGGAAACCTTCTAGTGGAGATCTAAGGATAGCAGGGGGCGCATGCGCAGGGGACTTAAGGTAAGCGTCCTGATATATTGAAAGTGAGTAAGTTAAATCATTGCCCAATATTAACTGGCTGCTTGCCACACTTAACCCACTGGTCCATGCACTTGAGAAACAGATTGATGTGCTCCTCAAAGTAATGCCCTGGTCATCAGTCATGCCATCGCTGGTCTTGGATTGGCGGGCATTACCAGTGGTGCCTCATTTATCATGACCTATTCGATGTCTCTAACGAAGCGTCCCATGTGCGCTGGCTTCATCGATGCCATGTATGGTATCGCATCCGTTGCCGGTCCCTTGCTGGCAGCGCATTCCCAGATATAGGTGATATGGCGGGTATGCATATAGCACATTTATTGATACTATGTGCTGGGATCTAAGGTATGCTGATTACTTTCAAAGGCGTTTTTATATCAACCTTCCCGTCGGTGCGGTAGCCGTGCTCTTGATCCTCATCTTCTCAAGCCATTCAATCTGGAGTTGGAGACACAAACTCGTATAGCTGGGACGCAGGCATGGTCACGGTGGACTAACCCCTGCGGAAAATAGTGGATGTGGATCAGTCCTAGGCAATTATATCATGCTTCTCAAGAATCTCCAAGAGTAGTAGTCGCCCGACCAACGTGGCGCGCTTGGGATTGTAATGGATGGTTGGCTCCATATCCTCAGAAACAAGTCGGCCAGATCCACCCCGTCGATCGCCATCGTCTAAAGTCTCGAAGCGATTGCATTGGATGGGGAGTAATTCTTCGCTTAGAGCATTCTAGCCGAGTCCAGGGTCATACTTGCGCGTGAAATGTTACGTCTGATATCCCTTGCGATCACGGATCAATCTATACATATAGGGATAAAGCGGGGTTGAACACTATAGGTAGCTGGTTTGGGTTAACGTGATTCATATATAGAAAGTATCCGATATTAAGATGGAGCAGTGGCTCCAGTGCTTCCATCCTAAACTTTTAGTGTCAAGAGTGTCTGTACGCTGTCCATCGGTTGATCTCGTCGGATTTGTCCGGCGATAGCACAACGTCTTGGACCTAAGCATAAAAATATGCGCCATTCCGGCTCCACTAACTATACGCGACCGCTATGGCCGTGCTTGGGATCGACTTCACCTCACGAATCATGAGCCCATGCATAAGTGGGGAGGATATCATTGTGACACTGGACTTATGCCACCCCACTTTGACATACATCGGTCTATCAAGCCGGCAAGAGTCTAGTCTAGCTCTAGCTTCAGCTCTAGCTCCAGCAATGTAGTAAATGTCACACACAAGGGTTCGAAGCCAACGAGCGAATAAGCACGATCCGCTAGGCCCTCCGGTGATGCTACCTCGGCGAATTCGTTTGTGGCAGTTATTTAAGGCAGTGTTTGTCCTAGATCAGAGTCTAGACGATGCAACCTCCTAACAGGCACAAGATAAGTAGGAAAAGATGACTCCAATATCTATCGTGCTATCCCTAGTAAGTGCACGTATAACCAGTGACTGCCTGACTGGAAACCGTCCTGCAGGCACTGCTGAGCTGACTCATTAAATAGCTGGTAGCCGTTCTGTTTGGACAGGCTATCTACAATATCTATCTCCACCCGCTTCGGAAATTTCCTGGTCCCAAGCTCGCAGCATGCACGAACATCTGCTACATCTGGTGGACCATCTCCGGGAGAATACATGCCAAATTAAAAGAATTGCATGACCAGTATGGCGATGTCGTGCGCATTTCGCCCTCCATCCTGGTGTACCGAAG